TATCCATGGCATGGCACGAGAAATTTACAGTAAGGGAGAATTTCTCTTACCAATTTGCTGTATTGAACATTGAAGAAGCTTAGTTGTCTGTTGGTGCAGAGGCTGGCACCGCGGATTACAAATCTCTTAGCGATGATGAATGGAAGAAGCGGCTCACAAGCGAGCAGTTTTATATTACCCGTCAGAAGGGAACTGAGAGAGCTTTTACTGGGTATAATCCAATAAATATCTTCGATATAAAACATGTAAACATGTAAACATGTGAGATCCCACCTCTGTTGGAGAGAACGAAACACTTTTTATAAGAGTGTAAAAACCTTTTCCTAGCATACGCATTTTAAAATCCTTGAAGGGAAGCTCGGAAGTGAAAGCCCAAAAAGGACAATATCTGCTAGCGGTGGGCTTGAGCTATAACAAATGACATCAAAGCCAAGACACCGGGCATTGTGCTAGCAAGGAGGCTGAGTCCTGAAGAGGGTGGACACGAGTCGATGTGCTAGTAAAGATGTTGGGCTCCGAAGGAGGGTAGATTTGGTGGGGTCCCACATCGATGGAAGAAAGAAATGAGTGTCAGCGAAGGAGAATGAATTGTGAGATCCCATTCAGTTGGGAAGGAGAATGAAGCACCCTTTAGAAGAGTGTGAAACCTCTCCCTAGCATATGCATTTTAAAACCTTGAGGGGAAGCCCGAAAGAAAAAGTCCATAGAGAGCAATATTTGCTAGCGGTGGATTTGGGCTGTTACAATGGGGAGGGAACAAAACACCCTATATTAAGGACATGAAAACCTCTCCCTAGCAAACGCATTTTAAAAACTTGAAGGGAAGCCCAAAGAGGACAATATCGGCTAGCAGTGGGCTTAAACTGTTACAAAACGCCATACGAACATTTTGATCTATTTGATGACAATTCTATTCCAATGGTAAACTTTTTCCTTCAATTTCAGAGAGTATTGGAACACCAAAACGCCAGGGACTTACCAGTGCATATGTTGCAACACGCCTCTGTTTGAGTAAATATTTTGGCTCTTTCAACAACTTCTCTAAGCAAATGATTTTTCATAGAACTTCCAGTAACATGTAAAATTCTCTCTTCAGATCATCCACTAAATTTGACAGTGGAACTGGTTGGCCATCGTATTACCAGCCCATTGGTGATAATGTCAAAACCAAGCTAGACCTGTCCATTATTTTCATGCCTCGAGAGGAAGTTCTTTGTGCTGCTTGTGATGCTCATCTGGGCCATGTATTTGATGATGGACCGCCGCCAACTGGGAAGCGTTACTGCATCAATAGGTATGTTGCTGTTACTAGCTCATTCTGCTTGTGTGTCTACTAATTTCTAGAACTGAATTGTGTATGAAACTCTCTGCAGTGCTGCACTGAAATTGAAGCCGAAATAAGCGAAGGTGAAGATATTACTATGCCTGCCTGCAAATTCTGTAACTCATACTCATTACATGTTTGTGCACATAAACTAAGGATTCTTGCTAGATGTATAAGTTTATTGTGCTGAATGGAAATAATTGTACCTTTTAGTGTCGTTGTTTAATGTGATAGATCCCTGTCTTGAGTAATTGTTCCAGATATACTTGAACTAGATAGGACACAAGCTGAGCAAGTGTGTGGACAAATTGGTTCTGAGCTGAATAGAATAGGACCCTTCATAGCTCCTTCCCTTGTGCTTATTTCCTTGAGAAATAGGCTATTGCTGGGACTCTCATTTGTCTATTGTCAATTGAATCAAAGAGATCCTGATCGAAATAGAGCATGGAGAGAGATCTAGAATCCATTAGAGGGCATCACTCTATCCTCTAGTTCTTCGTTGTAATAGTTCAAGCACACTGCTAGTAGATATTGTCTGCTTTGGCCCATTACGTATTGCCATCAGCCTCATGATTTTATAACGTGTCTACGAAGGAGAGGTTTCTACACCCTTAGAAGGAATGTTTTGTTCCCCTCTCCAACCGATGTGGGATTTCACAATCCACCTCCCTTGGGCGCCCAACGTCCTCGTTGGTACACCGCTCGGTGTTTGGCTCTGATACAATTTGTAATAGTCCAAGTTCACTTCTAGAAGATATTGTCTGCTTTGGCCCATTACGTGTCACCGTCAGCCTCACGGTTTTAAAACACGTCTACTAGGGAGAGATTTCCACACCCTTATGAGGAATGCTTCGTTTCTCTTTCCAACCGATGTGAGATCTCACATTCCATGGATAGTAAGTTCGTTCTAACCCATTCAAAAACAACTTCATGAAGTTGTAAGTCGAGTCATTTTACTTTGCAATGCCCAGACCACGGAGATGAAAGCTGAGTTTCACCCTATAAGAGACAGAGAAGTTTAAACTGGTAGATAGGATAGGACTAGCAAGAATTTAAACATGGAAATTATAAGATCGTCCCTGAAAACATTATGAAATCATAAACTCATCAATGAAGGAATTAACTTGGAGGCTTCTGATAGACTGTCCTTGCAAACAAAACTAGACCATATAGCCACATTCATGCCATTTCCTCTTACTAAACTGTTTAAAACTGTCCCAAAAGCTCCATATTGCATTCCTGGCACAACCTGCTAATGAGCTTGTTTATGCTTTCAGAACGAAGCACATAACCCTTGAAGATCATCTCATTGAGCACTAATTAAAGTAGAATAAATTGCCGAGTCTAATTTTACCTTGTTAGTCACCATCTCCTCCTTTAGTTTGAAAACCAAATTCAATTATCCAACCCCACATAATCCTTTGATCAAAGTAGCAGCATATATTGACGCATTAGGTGAAATCTATATACATTCACCATATCCCCTCTTTAATCTCAAAGCCCATAAATCAAGTCCCAAAAGTAATAACATTCGGGTTTAAACCTCTCTGTCGCATTTCATCGAACACATCCCACGCAGCATCCAAATCCCCACATAAACAAGCAGCATGAATCAAAATGTTAAATGTACAAGAATTAGGGGAGCCATAGTTACCAATGCCCACAAAAAACGTCCACCATTTTCTCAAACTCCCGGCATTTCAACAATGCATCCAACAACGAATTTGCAGATATCACCGTCCGCTTGCATCCAAAGGATGGAATTTTATCGAACACTTGGAAGGCACGGTCAGCATGGCGGGCTCGGCCGAAGAACAAAAAATGATCTCGTGAGGAACAAAACAAGTCTCTTGCTTGAACTGGTGGAGGATTTCTTCCATTTGATCGAACATTTCGGCACGCCCGAGCTAGGAGATGATGAGATTATAGGAAAGTAAAGAGCTAGAAATGGGCTTGTGGGTCCTTCATACGTTGCCCAATTATGTGCCTCGATTAATCGTTCATCGAATGAAAACGAAGAGAATTCGAGTAAAAATGGCGGAAAGGGATCGTGAATCGTTAAGAGGGCGCGAAAGGCACAGAGCCATTGCTGAATCCAAATGAGACCACACAAGGGTAGCTCGAAGCTTGTGTTCAACTTATGTGATAATATTTTATTAAATAATAACACTCAACAAATCCGTTGTAGTCTAGTTGGTCAGGATATTCGGCTCTCACCCGAAAGACCCGGGTTCAAGTCCCGGCAACGGAAATGTTTTTGTTCTTTTTTTTTTTTTTTGTTTTTATGAAACATTATTTTTTATTAAAATTTAGCTTCATTTGAATTTCAAAAATCCGTTGTAGTCTAGTTGGTTAGGATATTCGGCTCTCACCCGAAAGACCCGGGTTCAAGTCCCGGCAACGGAAACTTTATTTCATTTTTTTGCCTTTTTCTTTTATTTATTTATTTATATTGAGAAGCCAAAACATGTGATGTGAATAAATATTAATGGCTTTCCATTTTCTGAGCTGTATTTACTTCCTAATTTCAGGATTAATATGTTTGGTTTGTGAGTTTCCCAACTCCTAGGAAACCCAAAGGACAGATGGTACAGAATCCATGGATGACAGCACACCCTTCATATGATAATGCATGCTTTCCCAATTCCTTTTTCATCCTTCTCTTTTGGCTCTCTACTTTTTCTACCATCTCATCAATGCTTGCCTTCTCCAACTTTTCTGGATATCTTTAACATTTTGTTATGGTTTTGATGTGACCCTTAACGGGTTATAAAAATAAATAAAGTCTTAGAAGAAACGAGTTCAGCTTATAGTAGCCGCTCCCCTAAGATCTCGATTAGAGAAGAAAACAAAACATTCGTTGTAAATGTGTGGAAACCTTTTACTAAAACACTAAAACTCGGAGGGAAAGTCTAAAAGACAATATTTGCTAGTAGTGGGCGTGGAAGAAAAATGTACTCTTGTCTCAAAGCTTTCCTGTATACCGACAGAGTAGGTAGGGTTCCCCTGCAACTATTTTCAGCCGACAAAAATGTTGACTTTTCCTACATAAGTCTGAGAAAAGGCCATGTGTTTACAAGGTTTGGAGCCAAAAGATTCAAAATAAGAGGCTGTGGGTATCAACAGTAAGATCCCGACCACATGAAGCTTGAAGTATTGATAATGAAATGGTATAGTTTGAGTATGTACAAGAAAAAAATGACAGGACAAACCAACTACTTACTTTGCTTCTTTGTCCCATCATGATAAGGGCAGGATCTTAGCAGATCAACATAAAAGCTATCCATTTCAACTTGATTTGAGTACTCTTTGCGTAAGTGAAATGCCTAAGTTTGAGAAGATTATCAGTATCTGTTTCTTGGGCCTTTCTCTAGACACGAGTCGAACTGTGATTGGTGGTGAGCCCCTTTTCTTTTAGCAGACTCCTGCATTGAAAATGGAGGCATGTCAATCAGAAAAAAGTACAGACAAACACAAACCCACATGAGAAGATAATAATAAAGCCTTTGTTTTTGTCAAATGAGCCAATCATGATAAGAAGCTTTCCTTCTCTTCCTTTCCCATTATTAGTCTCTCAAGAAAAAGCTGTTATGTTCTTGCTAAGTTGCTTCCTCTCTCTTGGTTTTCTTCTGGTTTTCATTCCTGTTCATGTCACAGCTGATGAAGATCGGGTAAGTTTATACAGAACTTTGTTGAAATCTTGAATTCTTGATTGCTGTCTGTAGCTGGACCTGTCTGTTTTGCTTCTTTTTGTGTAAGCTCCATTCTTGAAGGTTCCTATTTGTCGGGAAAAGAAACGTAGTTTGTTCTCTCGAAGAGCGATTCAACCACCAAGAGCTTGGATCTTGGGGTTGTAAATTTCACCTCTGTATATTCGAGTCAGTAGTCTGGATTCTGGAGTGTTTCGTAACAGCTCAAACCACCGCTAGCAGATATTGGCTTCTTTGGATTTTCTCTCAAGGTTTTTAAAACGTGTCTGTTAGGGAGAGATTTCTACACCCTTATAACAAATGCTTTGTTTTCCTCCCGAACTGATGTAGGATCTGACAAGGATTGAGTTTTCTTTTGGTATCTACAGTTGTAGCAGAGAACAACCTTCAGCTAACATGTTGAGAGACAGCCAAATTGCTTGTCTCATGTCCAGTTAAATGGAGGAAATCTCACAAGTTCGAGACTGTCTTCCATGTAAACTGTTCTGAACACTTTCATCGTCTGTAGAATCAAATGGATAGAGGCCAGGCTATAGCACTCTATGCCACGATCAGTTGTGTCGCTTTCATCGTGTCGAAGATCTTCATAGCATTGCTTCTTTACAAGCGCTGGAAAAGAAGACACATGATTTATGAAGATGGGATGTCAGGTATGATAATTTCCAAACTTAAGAGAACATGTTGAGTTAGTCGAGTTAATCACCGGTGTCGAGAGTAACGTGTGCAATGCCGATGTATATACATAGGTGGGAAGATGGTCATGTTCAAGTCTCCAGCAACAAAGTCCCTGGAATCAGATGCGTTCCTGAAGAAAACACTAAAACTAAACAACAGGGACATCATTGGCTCTGGAGGCCATGGGACTGTTTACAAACTTGCACTAAGTGACTCCTTGACATTTGCTGTGAAAAGACTGAACAGAGGAAGTGCTGAAAGAGATCAAGGATTCGAGAGAGAATTGGAAGCGATGGGAGACATAAAGCATCGGAATATCGTCACGCTTCACGGATACTACACTGCTCCTCACTATAATCTCCTTATATATGAGCTAATGCCTAATGGAAGTTTGTATGAATATCTACATGGTACGTGTATATATCAGAGCCTTCTATAACAGCCCAAGCCAACCGCTAGCAGATATTGTCCTCTTTGGGCTTTGCCTTTCGGGCTTCCCTTCAAGGTTTTTAAAACGCGTTTATAGGATACACATCGATTGAAGAGGATAACAAGACATTCCTTATAAGAGTGTGGAAACCTCTCCATAGCAGGCGCATTTTAAAAACCCCGAGAGTAAGCAAAAAAGGAAAAGCCCAAACAGGACAATATCTATTAACGATAGGCTATGATAGCACATTATTCTGTCCTAAATTTGATGATATTGCAGGAAGATCAAAGGAGAAGGTTTTGGATTGGCCATCACGGTATAAAATAGCAGTAGGTGCAGCGAGAGGCATATCGTACCTTCATCACGACTGCATCCCGCACATCATACATAGAGATATTAAGTCGAGCAACATATTGTTGGATCAAAACATGGATGCTCAAGTGTCCGACTTTGGATTGGCAACTCTGATGGAACCCAACAAGACTCATGTATCGACTATTGTGGCAGGCACATTTGGGTACTTGGCTCCAGGTAGAATTTAATAAGCCATTCTACTTCACTGCTCCCTTGACATCGATATTACTAACTTCATTTTGGCAGAATACTTCGATACGGGGCGAGCAACGACAAAAGGAGATGTCTACAGCTTTGGTGTAGTACTACTCGAGCTCTTAACAGGGAAAAAACCGACTGATGAAGCATTTATGGAAGAGGGAACTAAACTTGTGACATGGGTAAGTGAATCTTGAACCATTTTTAGTAGCCTAAGAAAGACATAGTCTTTGGGTCGGTTGGAGAGAGGAACGAAACATTCTTTATAAGGGTGTGGAAACCTCTTTCTAGTAGACGCGTTTTAAAACCGTGAAGCGGACGGCGATACATAACAGGCCAAAGCAGACAATACTTGCTAGCGGTGGGCTTGGGCTGTTACATATAGAATCGAGTAATCCGTTTCCCAGTGCCATTCATTTCTAAAAATGGCCATCTTTCTAGAGGCAATAGATTGAGTACTCAAATGCTAAAAATTGGACATATTATTCATAAAAAAGAACAGACAGCTGAACAATAAGCTATTCCTTGTCTGACTTTCATAATGTCATCTAAATGTCAGGTGAAAACAGTTGTTCAGGAGAAAAGGGAAGAATATGTACTTGACAGAAGTTTGAGCTGTTTTCCGGTTGACGAGGTTAATGTCGTATTTAGCATAGCATTGAAGTGTCTTGAACCAGAACCTGCTCGGCGACCGACAATGGCAGAGGTCGTCAAAGTGCTTGAGCAGCTAAAGTCAAGTAGCATTGTAACAGATTCTTGAGTAGGTTCCTTCTCTAAAATGTATTCTACACTTATTGTGATCTCGCATTTGTAATTCGTTTGGTGGTACCTTATCCAAATGTTCATTCAAACTAATAAGAACAAGACAATCCTGGTCCTATTTCAAAACTGCAGACAATCCAGCTGCAACAGAAGCCTTCAAAGTAGGAGAAACAGGATTGTCCCCGAAAAAAACATCGAAAAGAGCTGAAGTCACATTGTTTGATTCGATTGTAGCTTCTATTCCTGTCGGTGGGCCGTCAACTGAGATGCTAACCTGCAATTCACCATTAATAAAAGGAAAAGAAAAGAAAAGACAATGTAAGACAGTTAAAAGTTTAAACATACAAGCATCTTTGGAGGTTCCAACCAAGTCAAGAATATGAAGGTTCCTTTCTTAAGAGACCGCCCCTCGAAGATGCTACGAAAGGTAGATAATGCAGATTCATCGACCGGTGTTGGTGCTTTGATTCTTGGAGAAATGGCGTCGTCCAAGGCGTCCCAGAATGTTTTGCCATCGACATCTCGGACGAGAACAATCTGTAAAGATTTTTCTGAAGGAGCTGCCATTGAAAGACAATAAACTTGTAGTAACATAAATAATCCACAACTTCTATAATCATATAGTTACGTATAATTTATATGTAATGGTTATTACACTGAAAAATTATATTGAACAAGGAAGAATCCTCCTGAATTGCAGCAGCCGATCGACCCCTCCAAGCGTTTAATTCGTTTGAGATGGATGAATTGATGTATAGTCCTGCAGCATAGACCTTAACACCAATGATTGCAAAAACTTTCTCTCTGAAACCTGAAATATTTGCAGCTAATGAAGATCAGAGTGAAGAATATAGTTTAGTTAAAAGTATCAATATTTTGGATGTATAAAATTCATAGTAAGCTGTGAGATCCCACATTCATCTCACCTCGGTTGGAGAGGGGAACGAAGCATTTCTTATAAGAGTGTAGAAACTTTTTCCTAACAGAAACATTTTAGAACTGTGAGGCTGACAACGATACGTAATGAGTCAAAGCAGACAATACCTGCTAGCGATGGACTTGGGCTGTTACAAATGGTATTAGAGCCAGACATCAGGCGGTGTGCAGCGAGGACGCTGGGACTCTATGGGGGGTGGATTGTGAGATCCCACATTGTTTGGAGAGGGGAACAAAATTTTTCTTTTAAGGGATACAAATGGTATTTAAGAAATTTTTCTTTTAAGAAATTGGAACAAGATCTGAAGCTCTTGTTGAAAGAGGAAGTAGATTGAGTTGGGGGTTTTCTGGGGAGGCAAACTCTAGCATTGGAACTCCATTTCCCAGTGGGAATGGCTGGTGGGAGGCGTAATGGAGTGGCATTTACAGCCATTGTAGAGATTTCTTCTTCAGCTCTTTGGAAGCTCTGAGTGGGATTGGATAAGAGAGGAGATTCATGTAGTTCGGATGCCCACCTGTCATCTTGTCCCAAAAGCTACGCTTTTGATTCGGATTTTTTGTCCTATTCCCGACAGGTTCTTCTTGTTATTTTTACCTAATCCATTTGGATACTTTCTTATTTCATGTCTCATTGTTAGAATGAAAATCTTCCTTTTTCGTTTATAAATCAAGTTTATTGAGAATTGGTAACAAAATTAAACTCGTGACACCCGCACATATCATATTTCTTCAATGTAACGACTTGTGCTCAAGATTTAAATCTAACATTTTTCTATATCCTACGACATAATCACATTATTTATTCCTCAATTTTTAAGAGCGAGAGTTATCTCTATAAACGGCATGTTTTATTCTCACTCACATGTCTTCTAAGAAAAAAATTACTATGTCACTCAATATAAAATTACTCTAAATCATTTCAATATGTTTTGTCTTCACTCACATACATTTCAAGAAAATTATTCTAGGAGGTAACCAACATAGAAGTGCTCTACGTCCTTCCATCATTCTTTATCCTCAATTATCACTCGCATGTCTTCCAAGAAAATTATTAGAAAATATAGAATTACTCAAAATTCTTTTCTATTTGGTTCTCATTCACATGCATCTAAAAAAAATTATTAGGAAGTCACCAACGTAGAATTGTGCAGAAAAATGTACCTTATCGTTGGTATAGATGATAGTTTTCATTTTCTTCCAGCTTTTTAAGTCACCAATCTATTCAAGATTGCTTTGATTCGGAATGTGATTCTTATATATTCATGTATTCTTCCCTTCCTCCGGTATTACAACCTGATAGCAGCAGAACAGAGCAAGATTAACGGCGAAAGCGGCCGCTCTCTCCTTTTTTGTTGTTATTCCTCTCGTTCCTTTCAGGTGCGTTTTCTCGATCTATTTAAATTCCGCCATATTTTCGAATAATCACTGAATCTCAATAATTTCTGCTTCTGATTCCTTTTTCTGGAAGAGATTTTCTGGCGGTAAATGGACAGAAAAAATCGAAATAATCAAATTAGGTTTAGGAAACAATAAATTTCTCAAAACAGAGTCGGAATCGTTCTTATTCTGTGCGACAAATTTGCAGAAAACGTGGTGCGTTCCGAAGCCGCCGTCGGATCAAGCGGCGCTGTACGACAATAAGAATTACGCCTGTGGGCGGCGGGTAGACTGCGGAGTAGCGCAAAAAGGAACCCCCTGCTTTGATCCTCATAATTTGTTCAACCATGAAAATTATTATTATTTAACTATTTTTTTAATAAACTAAAATAACATTTTATTTAACTCTTTAAATTTCTAAATAATTAACCATGCGACTATTAAATAATTACCATTCAAATTTAAAATAATAAACATGCATCATTGATTTCTTCATTTACTATTATTATTGTTAAATTATTTTATAATTAATATTTTAAATTCCTTTTCAAGGTTTTTGAAAGCTTGGGATATGTTAATTTATCGTTTTTAGCATATTATTGTTGTATTTATTAATTTAAATATGCATAATTACAGATTTATTTTATCTTTAATTATCAATAAATAATCATGCTACCGTCTTTATTCTTTGAGATCTGTTTTTATTAGTGAAGAGAAAATAGCCGAAAGTGATGGAAAACAAAAAAAACATCCAAAATAGAAAATAATAATAATAAATAAATAAAACCACCGAAATTTATAAGTTTTCAAATTATAAATTATTATATTTTAAGGATATGACACACAGTAAAGTAAATAAGGAAATAGGTGCATCTTCCTTTTCGGTTATTTAGCCCTAGGAACTTCAAGGTTTAACGTGCTGTGTTTATAGTGTTTAGATCAATTCTATGCTCGGAGACGTTCTTGATTTTTTTTTTATGATGCATGTGAGTGAGGAAATGACTCGTATTGATTTGTGGAGATAGTTTCAGTTGTTGGATGAAAATCACACGTCTGCTAATTTAGGAATGATTATGGGTTTATAATCCAACCATTTATCTCCATTGGTATAAGGCATTTTTGGGAAGCCCAAAGCAAAGACTTATGCTCAAAGTGGACAATATCAATAACATTGTTGAAAGTTGTGTTCATCTAACATGGTATCGGAGTCATGTCAATAGAATCTTCAAATGTCGAAAAAAGAACTCCAAAAGAAAAAGGAGTCGAGCCTCGATTATGGGGCGGCGTACTTTGTTCGAGGGGAGGTGTTGGTGTTGGATGAAAGTTCCACGTCCCGTAATTTAGGGAATGATCATGGGTTTATAATCAAATAATACTATCTTCATTGGTATGAGACATTTTGGCCACTTATGCTCAAAGTGGACAATATCATACTATTGTGGAGAGTCGTGTTCATCTAGCATAAGTTTTTATACGTAATGTGACTGCACAAGATGTCATTAGATGTTGTATTTAAATTCTAAATCGGAATCAATCTTATTTATTAATTAAAAAAAAGTTCAAAAGTTATTGTAATTTTTTAAATTGCTTATGAAAATAGATAACTAAGGCTTAATTTAAAAAAAAAAAATTAGAAAAAAAAAATTCAACATTAATAGTGGATTTGGAGCGGTTCGAATGGTCACGCAATCCACCCTCCTGCTATAAAATCCTTCTCCATCATCGTCTTCTTCAGTCATCCATCGTCTTTCTCCGATTCCTTCAATACTCCACCTGATCGCAGCAGAACAGAGCACGACTAATGGCGAAAGCGGCCGCTCTCTCCTTCTTGTTTCTCCTCTCGTTCATTTCAGGTGCGTTTTCTCGATCTATTCGGATTCCGCCAAGTTTTCGAACAGTCACTGAATCTGAATAATTTCTGCTTCCGATTCTCCTTCAGGAGGAGATTTTCTTGCGGTAAATGGACTGGTGAACGCGACGTTACCAAATCAGGTTAACTTACGGAAACAATAAATTTCTGAAAACTGAGTTGAAATTGATCTGATATTTTGTGCGATGAATTTGCAGAAGACGTGGTGCCTCCCGAAGCCATCGTCGGATCAAGCGACGCTGTTAGGGAATATCAATTTCGCTTGTTCGAAGGTAGATTGCAAAATAATACAAGAAGGAGGCTCCTGCTTTGATCCTGATACTCTGTTCAACCATGCCTCTGTAGCTATGAGTCTGTACTACAATGCGGAAGGAGACGATCAGTGGAACTGTGATTTCAGAGGCTCTGGTGTGATTGTCATCACTAATCCAAGTTAGTCCAATTCTAACACCAAATCGATTTTACTTTTATTTGTTTTTTTGTTCATCATTTTGATTTGTGGTTTCAATTTCAATTTCGGTGCAGGTTATGGAAACTGCATTTACCCTTGAATCAGTATACAATATATGAAAACTTGGATCTTATATTTATTGATGTTGTGATGTATATGGAAAGAGATGGATGTTGAACTTTTCAAAAAATTAATAAATAAGATTTTTATCTACTCTGTTCATGTGTGTGTTTGAATTGGAATTTAAACATCCCATCCAAATTCCAAATGGATCGGGTGATAACTACTCTCCTACCAAAAATGTTGTTTCAAATCTTGATACATTTTAGGAGAGTTTTGCACTTCCATTAAAATCTGGTTTTCAGCTCTTCTTAACGCGTGTAATTGCTCTTGGCATAACAATATGATGATTTGGAGAAACCCTCAATTAGTTAGGTCGTTAATTGGACTAGGAGAAACCTTGCTGAGAATCAATGATCCAGTCTCGTGGTGTGAGTTGGACCATGAGTTTGGCCTACTGTGCCTTAATTCCTCTTGATCAAATTTGTTTGGCCAATTGTGCCTTAATTCCTCTCGATCAAATTTCGTCTGTACTCATAATTCTCTTGATATCATAGTTACGAAGTATATGATAAAACTTCGACCATCGTAATAAAAAATGATAAATGATGATTTATTTACTTAGTTATGTTCGGATTAGCTATAATCGATGATATTTTAATTGTATGTAAACATATGGTTCAATTATATATATCATACAATTAGATTTTTTTCTTGTGAATATAAAAAATTCTTAAACATTTATTGTAAATCTTTCATTTTTGTTTAAAATTTTAATTATATCATTTGTCTATAAAAAAAATTTAAAATTAAAAGTTTATAATTCAATTAAACACAAAATTTAATTTTATATGTAATATATGAATTAGTATGTTATAAATTTATTTAAAAGTTCACAAAGTAAGAAATTAAAAGGCAACTAAATAAATTTAAAAATTGAGGAATTAAACGAAAAAAAAAGAGTATGAAGGGTAAAAGAGTCATTTATGCTGAAGTAGTCGCCTATTTAACCCGAGCGAATCTAGGTTTTAACTCATTGCCATAGAGAGAACAGAGCATCTTGTTAAAAAAATGGTGCTATTGTTCCGTTGCGGGCATAGAACAAATCGATTCCGTTCTCTCGTATTTTCGATCTGTAAGTTTGATTCTTCGTCAAGCAGCTTGCAGTTTCGAGGGGGAAGGATTATCTACATTCGTTTTGTTTTTGCTGTTCTTAATCTTGTCTTTGAAGGCCGATCCAATGGGTTCTCAGACGTGAAATTCGAATACTCGAGAACTCAATTTCACCCGGCCGAGATTTGCTTTGGGGTACCCTCAAGGTTTTGCATGTTCTAAGTCATGCTCTAATTCAGGGAACTACCCTAAATTTCTTCTCTTCAAACATATGCATGCGTTCTTTCTTTCTTTTCTTCCCATTTAGTATGAGATTTATCTTGGTAGATACATTCTGCAGCCTGTTCTTTAGTAGATAGGTAGAGTTTAAATGAAATAGAAATAGATTTTAAATACATGAAAAAGGTAAATATACAGCAGCCGTCGGCCGTAGTCTGGCCGGCGACTGGAAGGAGAGGCGTGGAGGACTTGCCAAATTGCACCATCTTCGCTGGATTTTTGGGGAATTTGTGAGCTTGGATGTGTTAACGGCAGATGAGAGAGCGAGCTCGGGATTCTTAGTGAAGAACGACGCCGGAATCTGAGAAAGCAAAGCCATGCTCAATAGCTAGTGTTCAAACGAATAATGTTATAACAATTATACTGTGATTCATAAAGTTATGAAAATGATCTCATGGGCCTCCTTTTTTTCAAGGAACTAAGTATATTGACGATTGATGCCTTTGGAAGGGAGATTCCCTTAAAACAACTGCAGAATTTCAGCGAATCTGGAATTTGGGACTCCACAACCAAGGTAATCGGATCTCATCTCATCTATCTAATCACATGTTGTTTCCAAGAATTATATCTTTTCTTGAATTTCTGTATATTGAGTATTACAATGGGTGGATATATGTAGTCTCAGAATCCCATTTAGAACATTTGTTTTGCTGTGTTGTATGTCACTATGATTGAAGTTAACATGACTCTGCTGCAGAGCAACCATTGCAGATGAACTGTTTGAGAAAATGTCAATTAGAAACAAAACCAGTTTTCAAAAGCTGTGGTTCATAATTTTGACTATTACAAACAGTAATTAATAATCTCAAAGCCATTTATTTAGGAAGCGGTGAGCAATGAAAAGGGTACTTAGTTGAAAGGAAAGTATCGAAGGATTTTGAAAGTATACATAGGGATAGCAGTGAACTTCCCTAGCTTCTGATAATGTGCGAACTCTACAGTTTGTGTAGTATGATATGAGCTCCATGTTGAGGATGGACTGTTATACCTGCAATGGGAGCATGAGTATATGATGGAGAAAGCTCAAATGAGAAGCGTTGTAGGATAATTGATAGCGCCATTTTTGCTTCAATCATGGCAAAGTTTAGTCCTATGCATATTCGAGGACCCAAACCAAATGGGATAAAAGCATTTGGATTTTTTGTAGCTTTAGAAACTCCCTTAGAAAATCTTTCTGGTTTAAATTCGCCAGCATCTTCACCCCATAACTCAGGATCACGATGGAGAAGAGTAATTGGTAAGCCCAAAAACACTCCGGCTGGTATAGTCAAATTTCCAAGTTTTGTTTCTTTTTTAACACGTCGACCAAGCATACTCGCTGGTGAGTATAACCTGAGAACCTCGTTCAAGATCATAGTTACCTGAACCATTGAAAAACTCACATGTCATGTGTTAGCTAATACAAAACTTTTTATGTGAGA